CTCCTCCAGAACTGAGTGTGCTGGGTCAGGCCTGTCAATCACATCAGGCAGAATTCCAATACTGCAGCAAGTTGGAGGCCAACCTCGGCTACATAGTGAGTTCCAGGACAGCCTGGGGTACCTTAAGGGTCTGTCTTACAAGCTTCCTGTGTAAAGCGTCTTCGAACACGGGAAAACCAAAAAGGCTCTGCATGGTCTGTCCTTCTACCCTCAGGTGTACACATCTCTGCCAAGAGCCACATGGCATGTCAGTAACAAGAGTGGATGAAGAGACACCGGCCGGGGATACATGAGGGAAGGCCTGCCCAGCCTCCTACCTCACATGTTGGGAACACACCTACGTCACCAGACCTGGAAAGTGGCCAACGGCAGAGTGAGCAGCAGCGAGTAGCCACGGCCCCTGTGGTTACTCTCTCGCAGGCACAGACATACAGGCACAGAACATGCACAAAGACATTATTCATGAGGGTGACCCAGATGTCCATCTTGGAAGACAGGTTTCGAGCTGAAGGGGTTGGAGAGATGCCTCGGCGGGTAAAAGCATTAGCCTCGAGAAAGATGACCTGGTTCCCCCGGAACCCTTGATGGAGGGAGAATGGTCTCTGGAACATCGACTTTGGCCTCCAGGTGCCCGTGTGCATCTGTATCCACGTTGTAAACGAAAGGAAAACAAAGCAACGGTTGGCCAGGTGGCAGAGCTTGTGGCAGGATGCTTGCCTGGTGTGTGTGTGGCTCTGGGTTCGATCGTTACCACCAAAACAATGGAGAAAACGATTGCTGGGTATAGGAGTTGGGTGGCCCTTCCTGAGCAAAAGCAGGGGTGGGGCCTGTTTCAGACAGTCCCAGCAAAGGAGACCCAACTCTAATATACATGATTCGACAGTCTGTATGGGGGTGCTGGATACCATTAGGAATGCCTTAAACGTTATTGTATTTGTGTGTGTGCCCATGACATATGTGGAGGCCTTTCTGGGGTTGATTCTAGCTTTCCACTTTTATGTGGGCTGTTGGGGCCTGAACCCAGATCACCAGGCTTGCATAGGAAGCTTATTTACATCCTAAACCGTCTAGCCAGCCTGTTGGGTATTTTTCTTTTCAGCTGTTAATCAAAGATTTGGCAGCCTTTGATTTCCAAGCTTCTT